TGGACTGAAATATAAAATGTCAAATTGAAAATTTTAATTCGGTCAATTTGTTTATTTAAAAAATAAAGTCGGTTTCAATCCGAAATAATCATAACTTTTAAAGTAAAAATAAACACTTGAATCAAATTATATATTTTGAACTAACAAAATTAGTTAATTCGATTTGCGATTTAGAGTGCAACCTGACAGTCACTAATGTGCAGCGCGTTTAACACTAATGTGCACTAGGATTCTAAATATTTTTTAATGATTTATCTCAAATTAAAATAATTTATTTGAGCAGTTAACCGAATGAATTAATCTAAATAGTCAAAATAATTTATATTATCAAATATATTTAGTATTTTAATATTTTTATTTATTTTTTATATTATTTTTCAATTATAAAGACCTAAAATACAAATGTAACAAAACAATGTTTGTTTATATAGTTCAATCGATTTTGGTTGCTAAAGTGCAATTTGACAATCAATAATGTGCATCGTGTCTAACACAAATGTGCATACAAATGTTCATTCGAAGTACAAATATTTTTAAATGTTGTCACAAGTCAAGTTAAAATCGAAATAATTTGTTTATTTGATCCGTTAACTAAAATAATATAAATAAACAAATTAATTTATAATTTATAGTATAAAAATATATGTATTATTTTTAACATTTTTATTTGATATTTTACATTATTTTTTATTGTAAAGACCTGAAATGTACACATAACAAAATAGTATTTGTTTATATAGTTCACTCGCTATAGTGCAATATGACTATCATTAATGTGCAATTTGTTCGCCATTAATGTGCATTCAAAGTGCAATTATTTTCTATGACAATATATTTGATTTTTACGATTTTTTAATTAATATTTTATTTTATTATTTGTTGAAAATAATTAATATATAATAAAAATAATATAAAAAATAAAGCCGAATAATCGAACTGACATATAAAAAGCTAAAGTCGAATTTTTAGTGCAATCTCACAGGCACAAAAGTGCAACGTGTAAATTATTAATTTGCAATTTGTCAAACACTATTATGCACGATTTCTCGCCGCTATTGTGCAGTGTGAACAATCTCCCAACCTAATTGAAACCTAAAAATAATGTGCATTTCAATTTAGAAAAAAAAAAAACTTTAATAATATTTATTTCAATTAACATTATGTGTGTTTATCAAATTATTTATATAATAAAAATATATTTAGTGTTTATATTTTTTTATTTAATATTTTATGTTTTTTTTTCAAAATAAATAATACATATATACAATTATAATATATAAATAATAATAAATATTATATTTTAAATTAAATGTATTAGCCCATATTTAAGTATTTGGAATTATCAACCACCAACTAACCAACTCATTACATCAATTAAATTGTAATATTTAGTACATAGTGTAGTTAAAAATTTTCATATTGCAATCAAGTCCATTTAAATGTCTAATTTACAAAATAATGCCCCAACTATGCACCTTCCCAGATTTGCAATTTAGGGTCGATTAATGTGTTTTTCGACGCTGGTGCTATCCACATGTCGACGGAAGACGGCAGCTGACGACGGCGGAAGTCGACGTCGGGACGGTGACGATGGTGGCGGGGAGGACGGGGATGGTCGTCGGCGTCCTTTCGATGGTAAGGCAGAGGAAGATGACGACAGTCGAATCGCCGGCTCAATATGTGGCTATATTTTAGTTATGCCGATTCAATTATGCCTGGGAAGATGACGGGGATGGTGCAATCTAGATCTCGACGGAGGACGGCAGCTGATGACGCCAGAGGAAGACGACGGCGGAAGTCGCGTCGGGACGGTGACGATGGTGACGGGGAGGAAGACGACATCGAATCGCCGGCAGTGACATAGGACTATGGTGGGGCGGAGGAAGACGACGACAGTCGTACGATTTTCCGGCGAAATTAAACTTTCGGCAGCGGCGGACGAAAAGTTGGGATGTAGGAAGACGGCGGCAGCGCCGCCCGAGGCGGCGGATGGAAGGTTGCCGGAGCTCTGTCGTGATAGTGTCTCGTGCAGAGAGTGTAATTGTGTGAGAGAGAAATTGACGGAGGACTGTGTGCAGAGTGTGTGTGTTTTGTGCGTGAGAGGGAGAGCTTGATGGGTCCCATGTGAGCTGGTGGGTTGGTAATTGGGTGGAATGAGATGGTGTTGGGCGGGCCCACATGTTAATTGGGTAGGAAAAATACCACATTGTCCTTATTCTGTTTTAAATTTGATTTTTTTAAGTTGTTGGATCATCCGATCCAATGGTTAAGATTTATTCTTATTTCTCTCACTGAGAACCATTCTCACCGGAGCGCGACCCTATATATATATATATAC